CATTTAGGCAATTATTGACACCAAGATGTCTGCTTGTATTGTGTTGAATGCTGCTGAGAAGTCTAGGAAGAGGGCTCTTGCATAGGTGTGACGTGTATCTAAATGTTTAGTAATGATATGAACCAGAGTAGCAACAGCATCTTACGTACCAATATAGGCAAACATTTTGGTATGGATCAAGTATGTCTTGTGTTGTACTGATAAGAAATCGGAGCAGAATTATTTCTAATGATTTCATAATCACTGAGGTGAGGGCTATTGGTCTGCAGTCCTTATGTTCTTTTGGGCAGTGGTTTGATGTGTGTAGTTTTCCATGACAGAAGCATTGTATGCGTATCAATGGAAGCCTGAAAGATGGGTTGCCACACTGGAGCCAGCTCAGTAGCAACGTTTTTCAGCAGAAAACCGCTGCACCCATCTGGCCCAGCAGCTTTCTTGGTCTTGGTGCACTGAAATGTTTTTCTGACCTTTTTGACACTGATGGTTATTTTGGAAGCAGGGATTATTGTTTCGAGAATTTCAGTGCACTTTTCAGAATTATCCAGTGACTCGAAAGAAAATGTTTAGTTAATTGGCAAAACAAAATTCATTGTCCGTCACAATAGGTTTAGCTGAAGAGGTCATTCCTGTCATGGTTATCATGGTGTCCCATACTTTTTGGGGGTCTTTGGCTTTAAAAGCATTTTCCAAAAGCTCTATGTGTGCCAGTTTTGATTCCCTCAACTTCACTTTCAGTTATTTATCTCTCCAAGTGCTCCATAGTCTTTGTTTTTGAAAGCTAGTTTCCTGGTATTTAGAACTTTTGCAATGTCCTTAGTCACATAATGAATTATTATTTGGATAGATTTTTATTTATTTAGTGGCAACAACTAGTTCTACACAGAAGTTAATATAGTCATTGGTAACAGTAGTTATTTCATCTAGTGAACCTTACTGAAAAATGTCCCAATCTGTCCAATGAAAACAGGCTTTCAACTGTTTCCTACTTTCATTTGTCCTAGTCCTTATTACTTTATTTTCTGGTTAACTCTTCAGTTTGGTCTTATACAGAGGTATCATATTCACAACATTATGATCAGAGTTCAGTATTGGTGGTCTACATTTAGTCACATAGGCTCCTTTAACATTTACAAAGCATTTGTCCAGGATATTGTCTTTTCTGGTGTGATCTAGGGCTGCCCCGAATATCATTTTTCGGGCTCCGGATATTCGGTAGTAATCAGCAGCGAATATTTGGATATTCGGCCCGGGGGGGCGTAATAATCAGCAGCGAACCGTCTGCAAGACGTGTATTTCGGTTTATTCACGGCATTCATTTAGTTATTCTACAATATTGTTATTTTATAGTTATTTGTTAATGTATATAACCCAATTCAGGGCTCAACATTATAAATGGCCCGCTGGCCCGGAAGCACTATTTAGACACCCCGGGCCACTAAAAATATTTGTCCTGTGGTATTGGTATTTTGACTAGCAATTTAGTTAAATAGTTTCGTTTATTAACGCTGCAACATAGCGTTTCGTGAGTCGGTTGTCATTGTTGGGTGAAAAGCAAACAGCTGTTTGCTGCGGAGTGCAGTGCGAGCAGGCTCCCGTGAGCGGGAGCGCGCTCCTTCACTACAGACTATCACCTAACCATTCGCCAAAATGTTTTTAATACCAGCGGTAACCGGCCAAGCGCCGGGCAAAAAACAATCTTCAAATAAAAGAAAGTCACCGGATGAGTTAAAAGAGAGTGACAGGGAGAGGAGAAGAAGAGGGAGAGAAAGTTTCAGCCAGCTTGATCGATGGAGTTGGCTTCTAGTGGTGCAGTGACGCATCCTAAAACCCTTTTATAATCTGTCGATTAGATTTATGATTCGAAATTATAAAAGTAGGGTAGACATGCAGAGATTATCCGGCTGAACAAAACGTGCATTTATCAAACAGGTTCATTTTCCACAGACCTTATTTCCAGCTATTTTCCAAAACCCTGTGGAGAAATCCCATTGCTTTTTGTCGAGGGAACCAGCAGCTTACTTCCTGGTTTTAGGGTGCGTCACTGGCTGCACCTCTCAATATGATGCCAATATTAACAAGGTCTTCTGTCGGCTCTGTACATCAATGCCGACCTATGCTGACAAGTAAGTGAAGAGTAGACGATATAAAGGTATTGGCTATAGGGAAATGTCCCAGCAGTTTAGGATAATGAAGTTTCTAATCAAATCTATTACATAGCCATTACATTTCTAACTCATAATGACAGGAAGGCAGAAAGCGCATTATACAAATAATAATATTCATAATAATAGCAGACATTTTTTAACAATGACCACAATATCATTATTTTAATAAACCAAATATGAACAATTGAGGAAAATGAGGAAGAACTGATGATTCAAATGTTGTAGTACAAGTAGTAATGTAGTTAGTGCATAAAATACTATTGAAACAAATGTGTTAATTTTCTTCATTATAAGTCGATTTGTTTTGGACGAATGCTCCGGGCCAGTGGTTACAATGGTGGGGCCAGTGATAATACAATTCCACCGGCCCGGAGGTGGGTAGACATTACCCTTAATGTCTACCCCTGCAATTTGTGTTCTTTGAAATTGAAAAGGATGCTTTCATTGCAGTTGTATATGTCTTAAGTGTAATTTGGCTTGGCTTCCTATTTGTTATGGACATGCTTTTATGGACATGCTTTTATTTTGAAAGAGAGTTAGCGCTGTTGACAGGAAGTTGTTGTTGCTATGGCAACAACGTGACGGAGATTAACAGAAAAGTCATATCTACATATAAAGACGGAAAAAATAAACGATAAAGTTTATGGTTAAAGGTGGGGTAGGTAAGTTTGAGAAACCGGCTCGAGATACAGTTTTTGTTATATTCCATGGAATGCTTTTAACATCCCGATAGCAATGAATATCTTAAGTGCTTTGACAAAAAAATCCATAAAAACATGTCATCTGTGGAAGCCGTAGTACTGTAAAAAGCACGACCAATCATTTTAGCAGTCCCGGCTAAAATAACTGGATTGCCTACCTGCCTGTCAGCCTTCCATCTGTTCACAAACTTATCTCGTGCCCTCATTGGTCATGTGCATGTTCGTGTGTGTTGGAAGAGGGGCTCTGTAAGGAAGTGGCAGATTTTTTCCGGCTGTGTATTTTGAAACTCTAGCGCACTCGAGCTGGTTTCTCCAAAATTACCTACCCCACCTTTAACTTTTAGCACCCCCCGAAGACGCACAAGCTCTTACGTTGATATTGGAGATCACAAACGAATAAACCAAATAACAAAATTGAAACCCGAATATTACTCCAACAAATGAATATTCGGATATTCGAGTACAACATAGTGTTGGAACCAAGGTAACACAGTTTCCAGGCGACATTGCTTCATGTCCCCGAGCACTATTGCCGGTGGCTGTGTTGCAGCTCGTGAACACGGTCAGCGATGGAGCCGGCCGCCAGTATTGTGTTTTGTTTTGCTAAAATGGTTCATATCATCAGTTAGCTGAGTTTCTTCCCGTTACATGGATATGAAACCTTCATAGTTTATTAAATCTTAAGAAGCCCTCAGACACTGTTGCTTGCAGATGTTGTGGTTTCTCCCCCGGGGCTAACAGGTTAATATACACACAAATACCGCCTCCTCTCGCATCGCTGACTGCTCAAACAAGGGTGAATCCGGGTACCTCAAAGAGAGATTCAGGCATTGTAGCCAACTCTCCGTGAAACATAATAAACAGGCCTGACAATATTCATGACAGTACCTTGTGTATGTCCTGAGTGTGTCCACGATTCTGAACGCCTCCCCTCCTTCCTCGTCTCTTTTTCCTGGTGTTTCTAAGCGGCTCCCGAGGGATGTCATCCAATATTGAAGAGCACAGATGGCTTGATGTATTTGTATGATGCCGATCGCATTGTAGCTCCAGCATAGCCTCACGGCTGTAGCAGCGTTGGCGCATATACGAAATTCTGATGAATAACCCCAGTTTCCGCATTTAAAAGACAGTTGTTAGTGAAAAGTAGAGTTTTATTTTCAACATTAGCAACAATGGAGAGTGGGGCTCTGAAATCATAAAACAGGTAATATGGGGAATAATCAGGCAGTACGATTTGTGTGTGTCGAGGTGCGTGTTTTTAAAACGTAGCAGCCTGCAATTGCTCTTTATCTGTTCTAATGAAGGTAAACACAGTGAAGTAAACAGTAAAAGGCCCAGCTCTTTGCAGCTGGTGCTGCTCTTCTCAGATTCTGCTGAGTTACACGTTACTGCCTCCTGGTGCTGCAGAGATTTCATGAAGTGAAGGAGGTTTTCCTTCTATAAAACAGCTGTGGGCAGCAGATACTGTGAGAGTCAAGGACATGAATTCATAGATCAAGGCAGACTGGTTCACAGACTTTCCTGTTTTGCCGATCCGGTGCTTAAACAAATGGCTCTACACCCCTGGCCAAAATGTCCCTAAAATTAAGTCCGAGTTCGAAATATATCTGAAATAATGTATGCAATACCATTTCCCCACATAAACATAACAGTCTGCAATGAAATGTCTATCTCCTATGCACTCCACTTCCTACTTGGCGCACCGGTAACTTTCTCCTGCGAACGAGTTCTTTTTTTCCATTGCCCTTTTAGGGGCTTCGTACAATACAAATGCAAATATTTTATATCAGAAAGTAAAGTCCTTTCGAGTCATCCGTCTCAAGCCTAAGTAAATTCTCAAGTCATGAATACCAAGTCAAAGTCAAGTCGAGGATTTTATCAATGTTAGTCAAGCAAGTCTCAAGTCCAAAAATATGCCGAGTCAAGTCATGTGACTCGAATCCCCCACCTCTGGTATTTACTGTGGTTAGAATGTTGCTGTTTTACTGTATCTAATATAATAAACACAAACAGTTAGTAAAAGTAGTATTCCGTTAACCCAATGTTTATATTAAGTGAGTTTTTATTTTGTTAACTGTATCTGTATTTATGCTTTTTTTTTTACTTTCTCTCTTTCTTTGTCTGTCTGTTCTAGAAACCGAAAGTAAGAGAGAGACGTCACAGCTGTCAGCAATGTGACAAATCCTTTACAAGACCTGGACATTTAAAGAGCCACCTGCTTATTCATACTGGAGAAAAACCATACAGCTGTGAAAAGTGTGGGAAAACATTCAGGGAAATAGGTGCTCTCAAATCACATCAACGTATTCACACTGGAGAGAAACCGTACAGCTGTGAATATTGTGGGACAACATTCACTAGATCAGATTATCTCAAAACACATCAGCGTATTCACACTGGAGAAAAACCGTACAGCTGTGAAGAGTGTGGGAAAACATTCAGGGAATCAGGTAATCTCAAATCACATCAACGTATTCACACTGGAGAGAAACCGTACAGCTGTGAAGACTGTGGGAAAACTTTCTCTCAATCAGGTCATCTCAAATCACATCAACGTATTCACACTGGAAAAAAACCGTACAGCTGTGAAGAGTGTGGGAAGACATTCACGATATCATGTAATTTTAAAACCCATCAACGAATTCATACCGGAGAAAAACCGTATTGGTGTGAAGACTGTGGGAAAACATTCACTACATCAAGTGATCTCAAAACACATCAACGTATTCATACTGGAGAGAAACCGTACATGTGTGAAGAGTGTGGGACAACATTCACTACATCAAGTCATCTCAAAACACATCAGCGTGTTCACACAGGAGAGAAACCGTACAGCTGTGAAGAGTGTGGGAAAACATTCACGACATCAAGTAATTTTCAAACGCATCAACGAATTCATACTGGAGAAAAACCGTATTGGTGTGAAGACTGTGGGAAAACGTTCACTTCATCAAGTGCTCTCAAAACACATCAGCGTGTTCACACAGGAAATAACCCGTACAGCCGTGAAGAGTGTGGGAAAAACGTTCAGGACATCAAGTGAACTCACAATCCATCACCGTGTTCACACAGGAGAGAAACCTTAGTGGTGTTAAGAGTGTGGGAAAAGGTTTTCTCAAAGCATTCACCTTAAAATCCATGAGCGAATCCATTCCGCATGGTTTTGAACAACTATGAGAGCCAAGCTAGCTGTTTCTTCCTCTTGATAGCCTGAGAGCTGTAGTTATATTTTTATATATCTTTCTGAATTGAAGTCTGACTAACAGACTTAAATTCAAAGAGTCAGTCTCGTTTTATGTGCCAGGAAAAGCCCTGAGGTCCTCCTCGGCTTTTTAAATATCCCTTAGTTCCCCAAAATAAAATGGGTGAGGCTTTTATACTCTACGCTCCCAAACTGTGGAACACCAGGAAATATCAGATAGGCTCAGTGGACAGTTTTAAATGCCAGCTAAAGACACATCTCTTTAGATTAGCTTTTTATTAGCAACCCCCCACTTTAAATCGTTTATTTACCTACTTTTATATTGTTTCATTTATGATATAGGAAAGGTTTTATCTTATATTAGTTATTTAACAGTTTCAAAAGCAACATTTATTTTTACGTTGGTTTCTTTATATTTTAATCGTTTAACCTTTATTAGAATTATGATATTTTTATTACTCTACATTTTTAGTTTTTATTTCTGTTGTTGAATCTATTCACTTATCTTTCCGAGATAAATCATTTTTTTTTTTTTACTGTATTTCATTTGTTATTATCATACATTTTACCTCTTTGTGTATCTTAACCTGTTACAATGTTATATTTTGCTGCATGTATCTGTAAAGGTCTTAACAGACTGAGGGGACTTTCTTGTTGTTTATTTTTAACTTGTGATGTGTCGCCATTTTGTAAAGCACTATGAGCTGCACGTGCTGTATGAATAAAGCTTTATTATTACAACAGTTTTTTATGTTCTGACCAGCGTTCACACTATGCCAACACAAGGCCACAGAGATGCTGTTTCTCCGATGTAATTGATGTTTGTAATGGCTCCTGAACTATGAAGACATTTTTTACTATGCTGTGTTTAAACCATGGATTTATATCTCAACTGCTAGCCTCATTAATATGCATTGAAGGAATTTAGTTTCACTGTTCATTAATCTGCAGATTAGTTTCTCCAATAATCTGTTTGGTTAATAAAATGTTGAGACTTTAAACTTCTATTGGGATGTTTTTGATAGTTCCTGTTGAGTTAGCAGTCTGTTCTGGGTTGCAGTCGAATTGTCCAAAAATCAGCTCCTATTGTCTTTTCCTATCCACTATTCCCGGGGTTAATGTATTTTCTTATGTTTACCGATCAGCAACGTGGTATAAAAAGCTACGAACAAAGAACGGGAGGCAACAAAAACACGGTTTAACGGATGAAAGCACGGATAAATCACCCTCCAAGGATACACTAGCTCTTTGTATGTGTTTTAAAAGTCTCTTAAACACATTACATTCGGTATAAAATCTGCATCAACATCGTCTGTTAGCAACGTGTAGCTTCTGAGGACCGGAAGCTAGAAACGGACCACTGCAATGCATCATGGGATTGTAGTTTTTCTTTTAAACATAATTTCACTGCCCACTGTGGTGAAAAAACTAACAGTATTAAAATAATGAATAATAATAAAATATATACATGGGCTGGTATGACAGATTTTAAACATTGGGAAACATATTTTTGTTTGTAATAAAAGGCGTAAAACACATCCAGTAAAAGATAGGATAAAACACCTATGAAAAGCAGCTACAAACTCACCTCCTCCGACGCCCCAAAAGCCTGTCGGAAAAGGTGAGTCTTTAGCTGCCCCTTAAAAACCTCCACTGAGACAGAGGCTCTCAGTTTCTGGGGGAGTTCATTCCATAGGGGCCACCGCCTGAAAGGCACAGTCCCCCTTAGTTTGTAGCCTGGTTCAGGGCAGCCTTAAGAGGCGGGTGCTTGGCCATGGCCAAGCACCCGCCTCTTAAGGCTGCCCTATAGCTCTGCAGCTCTATATGTGTAAACCAGGGGTAGCCAAAACGGTGCCCGCGGGCACTAAGTCGCCCGCAGGGGCAACGTCAGTCGCCCGCCGGGCATGTTCTAAAAATAGCTCGCCAAGCAAAGAATTAAATACATTATTTGTTTCAAACGTTTTTATATAAAGAACTAGTTCCTTAAAGAATATTCACTCAAATAGAGCAAATGCAATTAAAAAAGAAAACCCTTGATGCAAAAGCCTTTTTACATTTAACAGATGTTATTAATGTAGTGAAACCACCAGGGGAAGTGTTAGGAGATGTCTGAAGTATCTGTTGCACCTGACTTTATGACAGGGACGTTATTTAAAGGTCCCATGTCATGGCCATTTCTACTGATCATAATTCCATTGTTGAGGTCTACTATAATATATTTATACTGTGCAATTTTCCAAACTCACATTGGTTTCTCAAACAGCATCTCTGTATAGTATGTGTATTCACTCTCTGACCTAAACGGCTTGTTGGAGCTCCTACGAGGCGTTTTGGGGAGGTATTTTCTGTGTTAGAATTGTACTCCCTACAGGGTGTACTTTGAGAGTTTTTGACTGCAGACCGTTTACATGCATAACAACCTTCATAACACATAAGGAGACTGGTAATAACCGGAAAAGCATGACATATGGGACCTTTAATCACCAGGGGAAGTGTTAGCAGATGTCTGAAGTATTTGTTGCACATTACTTTATGACAGGGACGTTATTTAATATTGCATTGCAGTCTGCTTTACTAGTTAAAGAAAGACAACAATTGTCTCATTATTGGACAATTACAAAAGAGGCTTCATGTTGATGGATGGTTTTATTAAAAATGATACAATTTAATATCCTTTTTTTTAACCTGTTCCTATTGGTCTGATCCAGTCAGCTGAAATGGGACAGATCATGTGACCCAGCTTCTGTTTTGATAGGAATAAGTGTCCAAACGTTTCCTGTTTACGGCCGTTTAAATCTCTGTTTTGAGAATAATAAAATAAGATATTAAAAATGAGAAAATAAATATATGAAATAAAAATTCAAACAATACAATAAATAAAATAAAATAACAATCTATAATTCAATCACAATAACTAATTACAATATATGTATATAAAGCAATGTGGATATCTTTTTACAGAAATGTCTCCTTAACACACGGCCCATTTATTCAGAGTATTAATGAGGATGTTGAAGAGCTGCTGATGTAACTAAATAATTCCCAATGTGGGATCAATAACGTTTAAGGTGTTAATACTTCATTGCTTGTTTGCTTGTTTGTTTGTTGTTCACAGCATGTAAAGCGGCCTTGTGTCCCTTGCAAAACGCGATAAAAATGTAATCTTTTATTATTATTATTAATAAGGTATTTGGTCCCTCTGGCGGTCACTAAGTGTACTCTGCCACCTCACATTTTGCAACAGTACTAGTATCTTTACGGCAGTTCACCACAACATCAGACATCATGGCCTCCGCAGCTCCGGAGGATTTACCGGAGAACCGGGAGGGTTTAGCGGCCTCAGGAGCAGGGGTGGATCTAGAACAAATATTCATGAAGTGGCAAGAGGGTTGCAGAAGATTTTGAGGGGTGGAATCCCCTGGCAGAAGTATATGCTGATTTAATCACATTCATATCAATCATTGTTAATTTGGAAATCCACAATATTGATATTTTTAACTCAATAACATAGGTGACATTATTGTGGCACAACATAATTTAATGCATTTTAAATGAACAATAACTGAATGAGTTTGTTTAACTCTTAGACCAGCATGGGTACCAAATCTATGCAGACTGCTGCAATAAGTACATTAATTAACTGTCTCATCGATGTTTGTCTGAATTAATATGATAATATTAACAATCATATCATTCCTATCGGCTCTTAATCACTTTTATGATTCACATATTCAGTGTTATTATTGAATAAACTATATTTTTTGGAGGAGTTAATGATGAATGTTCCACAAGATGCTTGCTCACAACTCCTTCAAATTTGAAAGACAAGTAATTACGATCATATATCAAAAGATTCAAAGGATTCAAAGGAACAGTTCAGTGCCCCGCGACTTTACTGCAAACAGTTACAACCTTGACTTTACATCAGAAAGAACAAACATTAAAGAAGTGACTAACTGCATCAGTTAGGGTTAAACGTGTATAAAGCTAAAACATATACATCGCTGCAGTTATCATCTAGTGGAAAGTCCTTACCTACTGGCCTAGTTAAATCAAAGTGGTTACTTTTTTTGGTGGGCAGTGTAGTTTTACACACCGTCTTATTTGACTTTCTCAGGCCTTAAAGAAATGTTTTGGGGGGCAGACCCCCACAAAGAAAAAAATATATTTACACACGTAAGGTCATCATCTTAACAGTTTGTTATAATCATCCGTGATCAGAGCATCAAGTTGGCATGTCTATTTCAGCTGAATGCGGCGATTACCCTGTTGTTCAGCAAAACGCCTCACAAACGTATTAAGATCAACAGCTTTAGTGCGTTTTGATTCGATGCTGAGTACAGCCAAACTTGACAGTCTCTTCTCTGTCATTGTAGACCGCAAATACCTCATTCCTTCCGTCTACTTGGGTCCGAATGCTTCTCGTTTTGCGCCGTCCCGTTCAAATGAAATCGCCGCGAATCATATTTCCACGCTCGCACCAGAGCCGGGGTTAAAAGACTCACGTCTTGTGCTGCATTCACTTGCACTCGGACATTAGAGACTTTCTCTCATAAATGTCCGATGAGCCACAACTTTTCTTTCAAAACAAAGCTGCCAACTGGGGTGGCAGCTGGGTTGGCAAGGTCTATTTTTTGGTTGGCTGTTGCCACCCCACTCCACTCGGTAGATCCGCCCCTGCTCAGGAGACACCAGACCGAGGGCCATTGATGCTCATTTTGTGTTACTTCCATTTAGAAACACACACATTATTCTTCTGAATAATGGCACCAACAGTGGTCTCCTTCTCACCAAGCTGCTTTCTGATGGTCTTGTAGCCGATCCCAGCCTTGAGCAGGTCTACGATCTCATCCTTAGACAGCTCTTTGGTCTCGTCCATGGTGGAGAGTTTGGAATCTGATTTAATTTCAAACCTTTATTTAACGAGATTGGTCCCATTGAGGTCATAGATCTCTTTTTCAAGGGAGACCTGCAGCAAATAGGTTCCACATGAAACATAAAACAATAAAGGACATTATACATTATATTTACAGGATGCATTTACATAGTTATATACATTTACAAGTGCCCATAGTATCAACAAGCATTTCATTTAGCCTAGCTTTAAAAACATGCAGAGGAATGAGATTGCTCAGTTTCATTTCTAGCTGTAGACTGTTCCAAGCAAGATTGATTGATTCTGTGGACAGGTGTCTTTTAAAGGTAACAAGTTGATATTAGAGAGTACTTTTAAAGGAAGATTACTTATTTAACTGGTCGGTGGGAGCCAGAATCCTTGTTTGTTGCAAGGGGATCAAATTTCCCACAGTTAAATGCAAATGTTTATCTTTTATATAATGTCAATTTCTGGATTTTATTTTTGATATTCTTACTCTCACTGTTTATATAAACCTACCGTTAAAATCATAGACTGTTCATTTATTTGTAAGTGGGTAAACATACAAAATCTGCAGGTGATCAAATACTTATTTCCTCCACTGTATATAACAGGTCTAAATTACACTCTGTATTTGTAAGCTTTAGTAAAGATCTACAAACAAAGAGTAGATATTTACTAAAACCATTTAGTGCTTCGCATAATAAAATATTAACGGCTGTAACCTGATATATATTATGCTGTAGGAGCTGTAGGTGTGTGTAGTAAAGTGTGTAGATGTAATGCAAAAAGCAGTGCCATAATACGTCACTATTTCAAGTAAAAAAACTGCCTTTTTTGTGTCTAATGGGCGTTTTTCACACGTTTAATAATTCAAAACGCTGCTTCTTACATTGTGTTTTATTGTGAGACAAATCCCTGTTTTCTTATTAAGTCTTAATGGTGGCCATTAGCTCTGGTTTTACATGTGGGCATGGGGTTCATCACCCAGGTGTAATTTATATTCAGCTATGTTCAAAGTCACTTTTAAATTTGAAGTTAAGGGTTTAATAATTTTACAGTTCAGTAATGTAAAAAGCACAATACTATATTTCAAAATGTTTTCAATTTAAAATTCTAGTTAAA